ACTATGGGATCACGTACAGTGCAGACCTTAAATATTTAGACAGTTACACATTTGGCTGAATCTGAGCAACATTACAAGGCAAGGCTGCTTTAATAATATAGCATGTTTCATACACAGGAAAACTCAAAGTGCTCCTGTGTACCTCTGTGCTCATCCTGTTGCTTCAGTCGTTGGTGAAATCATCAATAAGGGTGATGGTTTCATTGACAGCCATATTGAACATGCTCAAGCTATAAAAGATGAGCTGGTCTGTTGTGGGTCATTATCAGTTCCTTTGTTTCTTAGAGGTTGACGTTTGTCAGGCTGTAGCACCGATAGCTTTGTTCCAGAACTCTTATACTTTTGTATGTTTTTGTGAATCTTCTCATTCGCTGACAAGTAAACATCTACATATTTTACGTTCACTGACTCAGCCTTCCTTATAGGGAAATCATTTGAATTTAAGAGTGAATACTGAGTGTATGACTGGGGTAAGTGTCCAGGAAATGAGTGTATGTGTGCTTCCGTACGCGTTGATGGCAATTAGGAGTCCAGATTGTGCTAAACTAATGCCGCAGTATGAGTTTTGTGGTATGCCAACACCATTCTGCAGTTGCAGTGTCTTGGAGGATATCTAGTGTCAATGCATCCCCTGTAATAGCATTAAGAAAAACAGAAAATTTGTGCTACAGCAGCAGAATGAGCAGTGACAGGCACTAGCTCAGCACAAATGGCGGACACCTTTAGGGGAAATTACATTCCCCACTCAGAACATGACTGACAGCTGACATAAGCTGTGTGTGTTGAGGTTCTGGTCATTAATCAGACAGCATGCCAGCAGCAAGGATGACTAACCTTCTACTCCGCTGCATAATCTACATGCTGCTTTCTCACTCGACCTTCACTTGAGATTGTCTGTGTGTCTGTGTGAAAGAGAGTAAAAGTGGAAAAAGAAGACAATTTATCTCCATTATCCTCTTTCGCCCTGGTTGTTTAGCATCACATCAGGCCGACTCCGTCTCTCCCCTCATTCGCTGCTCTGTCACTTTTGTCTTCTCAGCTCTCTATCCTGCTATTGTTTATTCCCTCTGTTTTTCCACTAGCTGCAACTCATACCCTGGAGAAATACTGCTTTCCTAATGACATATACAGATTGTGTTTAGTAGACAGGATGGGATGTTAGTGTTGCCTGATTATGATACAGTTTAAAGTGACTCATTATTCTCAGGGTTTCTTTCGTGCTCATTTATGTGAATGAACGTGCAGTAATAGGCACAATATGTGTAAGAAATACTGGATCTGGATTATTGTGCACACACTTTGGGGTTTGGTCTTTTGGTCAAAATGGGTACATGCTGCCTCCTGCTGTTCACTATTGCAAGGTCATTTATGCAGTATATTAAGCAGGTTTGAACATTATAAAGTATAATCCTCAAATATAATATAGTCCAGAAAACCAGATTTGGTCATTTATCCCCACCTGCATCATGTATCCAGCTCTTAACCGTGCTTATCTGCTTCTGTCAAATCCATGTCCCCCCCCCAACGAGCACTGTGCTTGGCTCTCAAAACCAGGGTCTCCCCTCCATGGGTCACTGTTCCATATTTCAGCTTCAGTCCCAGAATTTAACAAACATCTGTAGCCCAGCTGCTACTTTGGTGTCCTGGGACAGGAAGGCAGGAGAAGATTTTCACAGCGAGCGAGTCGGGAGCCGAGAGGCTGGGACAAGGACTCGGAGCGAGACTGTGCAGTCGCAGGAGAAGGCAGAGTAGAGGTCACAGCTGGGCCGGTCCACCTGCACAATCAAGCATGGTTATGTGTAATTGCTGGATAATCTGCTTATGGGGTACACAAACACCCAAAGCGATTTGTTTTTTCAAACACTAACTGAACTATGAATCAATGTGAAACTCCTGCTTCCCCTCTGACAATGGGGATAATGGAGAAAATCTAAACATTTGCTAAAAGATGAAAAGCAGTCAGTTTTCATTTCAAGCCTTTTCAGCAGAGGAAAATATAACCAAACATTTTCCATGATCCCATATTGATATGAGAAGCAGCGTTGAAAATACAGAAGTTTCCATACACTTCAGCCAAATACATTTAAATTCAGTTTTTCATAACTCCTGACATTTAAACCTATAAACATTCCGTTTTACACCACTTAGGGTCAGTACTTTATTTTAAGAATGTGAAATGTCAGAATAATAGTAGAGAAAAAGATTTATTTCAGCTTTTATTTCTTTCGTCACATTCCCAGTGGGTCAGAAGTTTGCATAAGCTCAGTTAGCATTGTCTTTAACTAGTTTAACTTGGGTCAAAAGTTTCAGGATGCCTTCTACAAGCTGCTTATAATAAGATGCTGGAATTTCAGCCCATTCCTCCAGACAGAAGTGGTGGAACTGGATCAGGTTTGTGGGCCTCCTTGCTCACACATGCTTTTACAGTTCTGTCCACAAATTTTCTGTTGGATTGAGGTCAGGGTTCTGTGATGGCCACTCCAATACTTTGACTTTGTTGTCCTTAAGACACTTTGCTATGACTGTGGAAGTCTGCTTGGGGTCATTGTCCATGTGGACAAGACCCATTTGTGACCCATCTTTAACTTCCTGGCTAATGCCTTGAGACGTTGCTTCAGTATATCCACATCATGATGCCATCTATTTTGTGAAGTGTCCCAATTCCTCCTGCAGCTAAGCACCCCACAACATGGTGCTTCCACCCCTGTGCTTCACAGCTAGGATGGTGTTCTTAGGCTTGCAAGCCTCTCCCATTCTCTCCTAACATAATGATGGTCATTGTGGCCAAGCAGTTCAGTTTTTGTCTTATCAGACAAGAGAGCATTTGTCCAGAAAGTGCCGTCTTTGTCCCAATGTGCAGCTGCAAACTGTAGTCGGCCTTTTTTATGGTGGTCTTGGAGTAGTGGCTTCTTTGCTGAGCAGTCTTTCAGGTTATGTCTATAAAGGACTCTTTTTACTGTGCATATGGTGAATAGTAGGATGGCTGTGCTGTCCCGTGGTGCTTATACTTGCATAGTATTGTTTTTACAGATGAACGTGGTCCCTTCAGGCTTTCGGAAATTGCTCATAAGGATGAACCAGACTTGTGGAGGTCCACCATTTTCTTCTAAGGTCTTGACTGATTTCTTTTGATTTTCCCAATATGTTAAACAGAGGTACTGAGTTTGAAGTTAGGCCTTAAAATACATCCACAGGTGCACCTCCTATTGACTCACATGATGTCAGTTAGCCTATCAGAAGCTTCTAAAGCCATGACATCACATTCTGTTATTTTCCAGGCTGTTTAAAGGCACAGTCAACTGAGTGCATGTAAACTTCTGACCTACTGGAATTCTGATATAATGAATTATAAGTGAAATAATCTATCTGTAAACATCTTTTGGAAAAATTACTTGTGTCATGCATAGAGTAGGTTCTAACCGACTTGCCAAAATGAGAGCTTGTTAACATGTGGGGGGGGAAAAAAAACAGCTTTAATCATTTCAACCTAAGTGTATGCAAACCGCTGACTTCAACTGTACCTAATACTTGGTTTAAGGTTAACAGTTGATAAGGAAAGCTTTTTCATTTTCCTCCTGTGGCTTGTTTTCAGATCCCTCTGTAGGGTGTGGGTTGTAAACCAGGGCTGTACACGGACCTGGGTGCACAGCAGCTATTAATTACTCTCAAATGATGAACTTTAACAAACTCCTGCAGCCTTCTCCACAGGCATCGTATTTGGAAAGGTCAGTACCAAGGCACAAACATCAGTCCTGGTATGCAGGCACTGTTAGGGACATATAGGATGAGTTTAAAAAAATGAATGTAATATATGTAACCAGCAGAACAGGATGTTTGGTAATTATTGTGATAACATTTACAAAGGTTTAGTCCTCATATAGGCCAAACTACAACCTAGAGGATATGCTGAGTCAGTTTTTCCTTATGAAATTACTGACTTAAGTATCACGGACAAGTTTTCAAGTAATAATTAATGGAAAATAAACATTGCTGAAGCTTGAGTGTAACACAGCAGTAAACTTATAATGCATATTAATGAAATATTTCAGTTAATGTATTCCCTACAAGACAGGCCATTTCCAGCCATGATATATTTCACCTTTTGCATCCATGTCTTGCTTGTTAGGCTGGTAGTAATAAGACACCATTAAATGGGGAGAAGAGTAGTAAGTGGCTGGCAGGAGTCTGATGACCACAGACCTGTAACAAATGACCTGGAAATGGTTCTGTGCAGAAAGCTTAGTTTTATCTGGCCACAAATACTTATTTTCCTTTTGATACCATAAAACACTTTGATAATGCTTTAGTTTACTGGTCCATTTCCTAATTTCTTGAATGTTTCCTGAAAAAAAAAAAAACATACTTTGGTATAAATTACAGAAAAATAAAACTCAGACATTTGTTTCATAGTTAGTCCACTGAGTTGTTTATTGGCTTCCTGACGAATTTGCATGAGAGAAATTGTTTAATGTAAACCCCATTTAACATTTATTTGAAATTGCTTGTTTATGCTGAACTAGATGGATGGTTGTGGACACATTTAACATTTTGCATGTGCAGTTCACCTTTCCTCTGAAGAAACTCGGTGTGCCAGCTTAGCATTTAGAAATAAATGAAAGTGTACCAACTGATCACTGATTGTACCTGTAATTACTACCAAATTATACGGTTCATTCAATGATACTTCTTAGGAAATTTAGAAATAAACTGGAATTTATAGACCTGCACAATCAAGCATTACAAATACTTTCAGTGAATGTGCATCTAAAAAGGCTCAACCATCAAAATCCCAGTGAGGTGGTGTATTAATACAGAATGCTGAGACATTTTACATTATACTTGAGTCCATTAAGCAAAAATAAGTGAATTTAACAGTAATAATGAAAGTCAGCTAAACCAACCAGCTTTGATAATGTCATCTAATATATGCACATTTGGCAGAGACGGTGCCTATGTATCAATAAATCAGATGTGTTTGGGAGGTGAAAAAGAAAAAAGACAAGTTTTTACTTTTTATTCATCAAGACAACATGAACATTAAAAGCAGAGCAAAATTAAACATCTTCAGTCTTCAAAATGTTTTAATCAAAATTAATCAGTATATTTTACAGTAAGGGAAGAAGAGCAATCAATGTGAGCTCTATGTGGAGGAGAAAAGAGACACCCTGCCATGGGCCTAACATTGTACACTCACTTTCAACTGATTGATTCTCTAGAAAAAAAAACAAAAAAGAGGTCAAGAAGTGAAGTGGAACCCGGCAAACCAAAATAAACCACAAGCACTGTTTTTATTTTATTTTCACTAAATGCCAAGAAACAAGGAGGATGTGTAAAGAAAAAAAAACCCATAAACTTCTCCTCTACGTTTGATATTTGAAGTGATCTCTGCCTGACAGCTAGACCATGAAATACATCAGATGAACCACAAACTAGCCCTCATCCAACCAAAAGATTTGACAAGTGATGAACATGAAAATCTCTCTCCTCCTTTACACATGTATGTTCATGTTTTTAAATAAGCCACTACACATTTGTGGTTCACCTTGTTTTTAAGCAGCGATGAGTCAGGTTCAGGGTAAGGATGCGTGCGCTCTTCTGCTTCTTCCTCCACCAGATATCTCAGCTTACCCTGTTGAGCAAAAAATGTTAACAAAACACAGTGTTAGCAAAGGTCACAGCAACTGCTGCTACTGGAACGTCATCATCTACATTATAACTTCAGTCAAAATTACCTGCAATTTAGGAACAGAGGAGTGTGTAGCTCTTAAGAGACACTGGTAATAATGCACAGATTCAGTTACTATCACAATGGACATTTATAGTTTTGACTACATTAAATCATAATATTCTGTTATTTTCTAAGGAGTTTTCAGAAGATTTTAAACTATTACTTTGATTAGAAGTTTGCAAACTGCTGAAATTTCACAAGGGCTGGCCACTACTTTAGATCTAACTTTATGACAAGGCTGTGTGATATTACCTTTGCCAGTGAAAATGTACTTGACGAGTTCTATTAGCATAATCAATTTCCAGTTAACGACACAAACAGTCACCTTCCAAGTGAACAAATGAGACATTCTGCCACATTTGATACTTTAGTCTCCAACAGTACACCATACACAGTGGCCATTTCCACTGTTGGCAAAGGTATATCAGTCAGACTGTCTGCATATCAGCGTTGCAAAAACATCTGACATTTTTAATCAAAAGACGTTTTCCCCAAAAGTTAACAAATAAGAAAAACAAAAAACACAAAAAGAAAAAAAAAAAAAAGATACACAATCAAGCTTTCGACTTCATCTTCTGGAAAAGTACAAAATAGATTTTCTGACAGGCAAAAGCATTCAGAAATGGATGTGGGTAGAGAAAGGAGTACCTGGGGTGAGTACCTGCACAGATTGACAGTCAGAGTATCCATGATTTTTAATTTGCCCTTTTCTCATGTGGTCTCGCTCACAACACCAACGCTGTGTGAGGTATGGAAGTCAGCTGCAATTCATTCGATAACCCCTACCCTCCAGTTAGTTAGTTAGGCCCCCGATGCTACAACACCCCCCCCAAACACACACTGCATGGCATTATCAGGCACAGTAAGCTAGACAACAAATCCATGGCAATTGAGTTATGGTTACGGCAAAACAAACTGACTGCTTTTTATGTACACCTTTGACGAAGGCTGAAAGTACGTCTGTGTGGTTACATATGATTAAGAAAATATCTGGCTGCATATTCCCCCTATATGGAGTGTAACAGCTCAACAAATAACATTTTCCTTCTTCAAAGAAAAAACAAAAAACAGGTAAATACAGGCAGGAAATTTTGACTGGATTGGTTAACCTCTTATTTCTGCCATTTTGTCCACACAGACAAATATACATCTATCAAAAACCGATACAAAACGAGGGGTACCTCCGGGCATGTTTGCTCAGGGCTACACTGGCCTTTCCCTCTTGGCATTGTGTGAATGTTTTCTACCTTCTTCTCATTCATCGGGCTAGTCCTTGATCTTCAGTGCATACTTATGATGCACTATTCAAAAACAGGATAAAGATATATGCATACAGTACATAAGACAAAATCATAGGCATTCAACTGAATGTAAACAGGGTGGGAGAGGGAGAGGGTGGGTAGGGGAGATGGGAACGGGTGGGTGGGGTTGGAGGGTGGTGGGTTGGGTTGAGAGCCAGGGGGGTGAGGAAGAGGACTCACTTACCTGAGCCTGATCTGAGGTCCTATCAGATCAGTTTTAATTGGACTGAGTGTCACCTTCAGATTGGAGGAGCTCTTGTTGGCCATTAAGCACAGGGGAGAAGGCAGAGGCAGCCGTCTCTGTCTCCATCGGTTCCGCTTCCGACGAAGCCTTGATGGCGGCTGCATCACCATCAGAGTGCTTGTCTTTCTTAGAGCTGCTCCTCTCCTCTGTCGCCTTACGGTCTGAGAAAACATTATTTACAGAAAGGTTACTACTATCACAGCACGTGCAGTTTATTAGAAATCTGCAAACAAACAAAAACCACTAAGTCCTCACCTTTGTCTTTCGATGACCGCTCCCTGTCCCTGTCTCTCTCCTTCTCTCTGTCTCTGTCCTTGCTGCGACTGCGGTGGCGGTGAGATTTGCGCTCTGAGCTGCGTGACCTCCTCCTGTCACGGCTGCGGGAGCGACGCTTTCTGTCGGAGCGTTCACGGCTGCGCCTCCTTTCCCTGTCCCTGTCCCTGTCTCGGCTCCTACAGAAAGAAGGAAAAGAATAAGTTATTAGGTCAAACAAATCAAACATGCATAAACACGCACACAATGACATTGTTCTGTAGCTGCACTTGTCTTGACTGTACTTGGCTGCTGGGGTGTCATGTTGTCATGAATGTGTATTTAGATCTGGACTTTCGCCTCTACCTATTATAGAAGCATCCAAACAGAGTTCTGTTCTGGTGACAGCCGTACCTGCTGCGTTTGCGTTCCCTCTCCCTGTCCTTGTCTCTGCTCCTGGACCTCCGGCGATCACGAGATCGGCTCCTTTTCCTGTCCGATGCTCGACTGGAGTGGCGGCTTCCGGAGTGGCTTCGACGTGGTCTCCTGTCCCTCTCCCTGTCTCTCTCTCGTTCTCTCTCTCTCTCCCTCTCACGCTCCCGCTCTCGCTCCCTCTCCTTCTCCTTCTCACGTTCCTTCTCCCGCTCCTTCTCCTTCTCTTCCTCCTCTTTGCGCTTTTTCTCCCTTTCCTCTCTCTCTTGCTCGCGGCTTTCTCTTTCCCTCCTGAGCACTGGGTTTTCACCTTGGGGATCTTCTGAGCGGCGACGTAGTTTCTCCTAGGAATATATAAGAAAGAGTCCTCAAGTAAGTCATGAGAAGAGCAAAAATAAAGCATTCCAGATGGCCAAATCTGACAATTGTTCACTTTTAAAAAGTAGGACAGAAATATATTGTAGTATTAGCTCTTCTAAATATATATTTTTTGGGTCCAAGCCAATGGCGAACATGAAAATGTGCCACAACTATTTATCAAACTGGTGTATCAAGAGTTGAGTGACTCATACGTGCTGCACCTCAGCATATATATATATATGTATTCATCAATACGTGATCCTATTACCTTGAGCTCCTCTACAGTGGATTTGATCTTGGCATAGCCCATGTGCTGTTTGCCCATCAAGTGGTCATCCACTCGGGACTGTGCGTCACCCACAATAAGGAAGGCCCCACACACCTCACACACCTCCATCTGTTTCTCCTGGGCTGCAAAGCTCTCGATGGTCTGGATAAAAAGTACAGACATTACATTTTAAAAAAAAGGAATGATGGAGCATGCTTTTGACTTGGAGCAAATTTAGTTGTCCAATTTGCACAGAGCAATTAATGACCATCAGGTTGCTCATCGTTGAAAAGTAACTTTCAGCATCACGAATGTCAGTGGGACTGGTGGAATCATTTTTAGTCTACATACAGTTTGGCTTTGATTATTTATGAAGGATTAAAAATGTTTTATCGATCAACAGAATTACATCATCAGCATCTACTATCCTAAGCAGCGTCTACAGACAGATTAGCCTGGCGTCAGGTGACTCACTGAGGGGGTGGAGCTGAGCAGCTCCCTCTCTTCCTTCAGCTGCTCCACCAGCTTCATCATTCCCTGGGCCTCCTCCACTCGACCCTCTGACCCCAGCTCCTCAATCTGAGCGAAAGAAAAGCAGAAACAGATTGGCCATTTTATCACAATGCACAATTTATATCTCCCATCTTGTTCATTTCAGCTGTGATACAGTATAAACTACATGCAGACGTCCAGATTGTAGTATCTTCAAAGTAACCAAGGCAATCAAGTGTAACAATCTATGCAATTTATTTTGCCATTTTATTACAAACCTGTATGACCAGGTCTTCAATCTTTTCTGTTAGAACCTGACTCTTCTCCTCATTCTTTCCTGATGGACCAGGACCCTGGAGAGATAAACACACCAACCATGCAATTTTATTTTTTATGAGACGCAGTTTACATTGCATGCCCTAAGGACGCTGTGCGTAACCAAAACCTAACCTGTGTGACTGCTGAGACCAAGTGAGCCCTCAAAATGCATTTATAGGGACAATTTACAAAACAATATCACAAAACCACAGCACAAACCCCTGCATTCTGCTGAGCCTGGGAAAGCGCGAGCCGAGCATGCCCTCTACGAATCCTCCGCTCCACCTCTGCCAGGAGCGACTGCAGATATCGCAGGAAGTCTCGCTCATAGCCCTCCTTCATAAACCGAGAGCTCTTCTCATACCTGGACAAAACAGGATAGAAAGTGGTTATAAGGTAGTCATTTACAGGCATACAGAAGTGTATAAAACCACAAAAAGGACTCACATTTTTCTGAGATTTTCATCATGAATTTTCTCACAAGGGCCTGGAAAAGAATTTAAAAGTTTATCTTAAGAGATAAATGGTATTACTGTATTAAAATATGTATATATGCCTATGTCTATAAATACTTGACATACCCAAGTCAGAACGTGTATTTGTGAATAACTCCGCTGGGCAGAATCCACACAGATAGTATCGACAGACCTTAATGAAGAAATTAAATATTATTATTTCAAACAGAATTCTTTCTGCAACCTCTCCCTTAAGTTTTAAGAGTTAACATTGGGCATCAAGAAACAGACAGCGCGTAAATTATGTTAATGAGAACAAACGCAACTTGCATTTCATTTATAAACCATTGAAATGTGAATTTAACGCTAATATTCTTCAAGTCCTCAAATTACACCTTAAGTTACCACGCAAGCGTTGTATTGCGCTAAAATGCAGTAATTCAAACTTGACGCTCCGCCGAGGAAACGTTATAACACTGATGCTAATGTTACATGCTTCATTTTGAGCATATGCGATGGCATTAGCAAACTAGCGCTGATTTTGCTATAACGCATGTTTAGACAAAATTCAAAATTCTCTCTTACGCTACGATTTCATATGTAGCGTTGAAATCTGAACCAATGACAGACAACTCAATTTATCTAACTCCCACATACTATGATTTTATGCATCTTAGTTAGTTTAGCTAACTCATCAAACTAGCCATGCTAACGTTAGCTCAGAGGCTAACTTACGGTCTCGTCGTCCCATCGCACGTTGGATCGCTTCTCGTCAGGGGCCAAGTTTCTATCTCGGCCCATTAACTCGTCGAGTAACTGAGCTGCGGAAAGCATTCTGGCTAAAAGACCGTAGCCTTGAATTAAAGCAATACGATATCTCCCGAAGAGCCAGCTCAAACAATTTATTACAGGAAAACACTTCTGTTCAAAATGGCAGACGCTCTTTACAACACAACGCCCGTAGAACCACTCTAGCAGCACCCCTTACGCTTCTGAACCGGAAGTACAAGCCTGACAATAGCATGTTAACCTTACCGATTTTGGGCATTGGTACTTTCTTAAATAACTCATAATAAGAAATACATCAGAGCCTTTGCTCGGTTCTTTGCATCCGACAAAATCTGCAGTTTTACATATTTTTTTAGGGAACTGCCAACACTTGCGAAATGATAAAAAAAAACTTTAATTTCTTTCTACCATAAACTACGAGCAGCATGTCAAACTGGGTATTTGATTGGAATACTTTATTTTGAAAAGTTTCACCGAAAGCGACAGGATGCCATTGTGTCTACCTTTACGAGAGACTCGCGTGATCGTACAGCATGTAATGCATTACAGTAAACAACCATGTAGTAATTAACTATGTAAATATTTAGCCGAAGTCGATTAACATAATTAAATGACAGTCGGTACAGTGCTAGAAACACTGATCCCTTTTTAGTATTGTGCCAGGCTTGACTATGGACTTGACTGAGTGTATTTGGAATCATATGTCTTCACTGCCTTCCAATGGTCATATCGAGGAAGTGAAACAATATTAAAATAATGGCTAACGGTGTTAATATCAGTAAAATTGTCTAATATAAACATATGAAATATGATTACTGTGATTATAACACATAACATTTGTACTGTCAGTAGTAAACTGCTGTTTTAACAATTTACCAGTTTTCCGGTGTAGCCTTTTGCCACAATATAAGCGTCAAGGTAGATTAAATGAACCCATCACATACAGTGAATACTTTCAAAATAAAATAAGAAAAATATAGCCATACTATAGATATATACACATACTGTATATTGTCAGGCGAAACTAATTCTATTCATATCTACTTAAAATAAAAATCACCCTAACAATATGTAGACTAAATATATATATTTATGATGTGAAACAATAATAATGATTTCTATTTTTGTGTATTATTTATATTTTTGGTGTTTTTTTTTTTTCATTATCTGACAGTCACAGAAACTAACACCCTTTTTTATTTTTTTTATTAACATAGAAGAAATCATATATAGCACAGGTTATACGACTCAAACTAGCCAAATGGTAGAAGTCTATCCTTAACAAAACATTAGGATGAGCTTATCAACCCTTAAACAAGATTACTACCACAAGCACGAAAGAAAAACAATAAAGACCAGCTATGAAGACAAAAGCATAAAAGAAAAAAGATGAGGCAAGGAGCACAAAAAAAGAACAACAAAGGTGGAAACAATTGGTTTATAATCCTTTCTGGGCATTTCAGCGACAAACAGGAGTTAATAAAGTTGTTAATAAATACAGTGAAGGAGGGACTATTACCATTCCCCTTACACGTAATTATATGATATTTACCTAGAAGTGACACCAGATTAACAGTGTCCGAAATAGTTTTGTTCGCGTTATCCATAAAATAAAGTATCTCATTATACTCAAAGGAAGGTATATTGTCAATTTTTATGACAACCAGTAATAGACAATCTGGAGTGTGGACATTCAAAGAACGGGTGGTTGGTGGTTTCTATTTCAGAAGAGCAAAAGATGCAAGAATCAGCTTTAAATTTAAATGTTTTGTGGCTAACACTCCAAACTATGAGAATAATGTGCCGACATTGTTTACAGTTTCCCTAACGTTTATTGAACACAGTCATATTATTAGGCATTAAAACTAATTAATGTGGACTGCCCGGGTAGATCTAGCCGCATATGTTGTCACGTAGTATGGACAAAATAATGTCCACACTTGGCAACTGCGCCAGCAACACGTATGTGTTGATAACATTACTTTCACCGTTTATCACTCAGAGTTATTTGGCTGTTTAATGGCGTGAACTGTAGACTAGATGACGTATATAATTAAGTCGCAGCAAACCGTATCCGATAACCGAGATTTCAGACGGGAACTAACATTCGTGCTCACAGTTGTTACAACTAAAGATGCCCCCCGATGAGGCGGTGGTGTTTATGGCAGCCCGCTGACGGAGCTCTGACACCGCTGATTGAGTGTATGGGTGTGCTGCGTGTTAGCAGCTGCACTATAACGCGGACTAACAACTGACATAAACGGCCAAGACCGAATCTGCCATATAAACGCCAAAGACTCCGACTATCAACACGAAATTACATTAGCCGAAGTGATTTGGTGCCACAAGCTAGAACCTCATCAAGCTAACCAGTGGGTAAGGTTAGCCGAGTAGCTAGCAAGACTATTTTTAGTGGACCTGTGTGCCATCATCGGTAGGAAAGTCTGGTCGATTGGTATTGACAGTTGAGTCAGAGAAGCGTTTGTATTTCCTATGATCTCTCAACGCTAGTTGTCTGTGCCAAAATGTCCACTGTTTCATTGGATAAAGAATTACAGGAGAGACTGAGAGAGGCGTCTGCCATCGGGGATATCGACGAAGTGCGGACATTGGTGGAGAGTGGAGTCAATGTTAATTCACAGAACGAAATAAATGGATGGTAAGCGTTGGACATAATATTGTAATGGCTTCACTTCGTCAAACGCAACTTGACAAGTGTTTGATTTGATTTGATTTATTTATTCTTTCAAGCATATAAAACAGTTGATATAACAACACACATTTTTACACACAATCCAATATGAGTTGCAGTGATGTATCAGTTGCATATTCAGTCCCTGGTTTGCTTCACAGATTTTTTTGACTCTTACTGAAAAGTTTAGTGCAGTGAGTACAACGAAATGCGCTGTCAACCAGGATTAAGTGCAATCCTGTTAGGCAGGACAGGCGTGTTATTCAGCCACAGTCACTACTTAGCTTGCTAATAGCAACTGCAAATAAATTTCATCAGTGTTTCTTTTGCTTATTGTATGTTTAAAATGCCGTTAATCTAGTTTTTAAACAACAGAAAACTGTGACATTTCATATTTCAACATGTTTTGTTAATCAGTCGTTTATTGTCAGACAAGTATGCAACATAACCAAGTCTGTCTTGTCTTTGCCCATAAATAGAGTAGCTAAGATTATGTGGATTGTGCTCAGATTTTACTCAGATTGTATGAGTCTGAGGTAATTACAGGTCTTTTGTTCTGTTTGCCACACAGGCACTGGTGTTAGTCTCCAACTTCTTGATTCACTACACAACCTATGTAGTGATAGGTGTTTGTTTATTAAGCTCCCCATTAGTTATGGCATAGATATTCTTCCTGGTGTCTTCAATAGAGCCATGTAAATGTCATACTAAAATGGTCTCCAGTGTAGAGCATTTTATAAATCACTGTCATTTTATCATACTGTATGTTGCAGTGTTTGCGTTAATTGAACTTTCAATGATTCCACCAGGACATGCCTGCACTGGGCGTGCAAGAGGAATCATAAGCACATAGTGTCCTACTTACTCAGTTGTGGAGCAGACAAAGAAATCCTCACGGCCAAGGATGAGCTGGCCTCGCAGCTCACGTCCAAACCAGAGATCAAACGACTGTTAGGAGGTAAACTGACACTCTTCTTGTTCTCCTCTCACATATCATATGACATCAGTTATTATTGCAATGTGATGTATCAGTTGCATATTCAGTCCCTGTCATACAGTACTTTGATATGTAATGTACGGGTTATACATAGAACTGCATCTACAGCTGTGTACTGTTTTGATGGAGACAAAATCTGTCTGGATTATTGTTTGAGCTGTTTAATAGGGAAATAACGCTTTTATGCACATTATTGCCACAGTTGAGATGGAGGAAGTGCCTGAAGTCAAGGAGTCTGAGTTGCCAATCATTCCAAACTACCTGTCTAACCCGCCCTTCATGTACTCTAAGATGGACAACAAGTCAGAGGTCATCCTGGAACAGCACCTTACACAGAACGGTTCTGGAGAACATGCTGAAGACGCACATAGTGACCCAGCCTCACCGGCTCATGAGCCTCAGATGTCACAGAGTCTGATCTCTGATGGCCCCGCTCCTCCCCCAAACCACATCACCCACAGCCAAGCCCAGACTGGGGAATTTATTCCTGTGACTGAGCAAAATGGTGTGTCACCCAGAACGGCTTCATCTCACAACCACACTGTGGTTAACTGCACAGTGCCCATGGACTTGTCAGTTGAACCTCACCTTGTCAACCATGCTGACTATCCACATGCCATGGCTCACAATGGCACCATGTGCTCACCTCCATTAGCCTCACCCAGCCCCAGCTTGGCCAGTGGGAGCCAGGTCCAGGCTCCAATGGCCAGCACTAACCCAACTATGAGTAGGCAGCAGTCTATCCAACAGCACGGCCAGGCTGGGGGGCCGATGCCAGCTTTCCAGCCTTTCTTCTTCACTAGCACCTTCCCTGTCAATGTGCAAGGTGAGATAGAAATCATGTACTTTACAATGTCTAAGCCCCTGTCCATACATACGTTCTCTGGAGACGAGACAGGTTGCCATTCATCATGAATTAAACATCAAAAAAACATGCTAGTGCCATTTGTTACTACTCAAACGTTCAACATTTTGGGAAATGCAGACTGATGAGAAGATCCATACCCCTCTCATGTCTGTCCACTCAATATAATTAACTTAACTCATCATAAAGACTGGAAACAGTTCGTTTTGCTCTGTCCAAAGGTACAACAATCTGCCTACAAGTACCTTTGAATTTGACCAAGTAACATGTTATATCTTGTTTGTTTAATCTGTTCACAAACAGAAAAGAATCCCAACAAGTTGTGATTGTAAAGTGGAGTTAGGTGCTGTAACTTCTGCCTGGAGTTGTTTTATCACTGTGGCACATCCAATAAATCACTACAGGTGGCTAAAAACACCCACAAGCTTCATGCACACTAGAGCCCAGAGAGAGTCTGCCACTCTAAGTCCCTACTGTACAGTATATGTGAACAGGGGTAACACTGCTAATGCATGTAATTCATAAGCAAGAAAAGGGTGTAATTAAATTAGTGACTCTCACCGTGAGCTGTGTCCATAATCATCTTAAAAAGCACAATATCTTTGTTAATAGGGAGGTCTCTCTCTGGTTCTTTTTTCTAGAGTTGGTGCTGAAGGTACGTATCCAGAACCCCCATGCACGAGAAAACGACTTTATTGAGGTGGAGCTGGACCGCCAGGAGCTCACCTATCGCTCTCTCCTGAGGGTCTGTTGCCGAGAGTTGGACATCAGCGCTGAGCATGTGGAGAAGATCCGCAAGCTGCCAAACACCATGTTGAGAAAGGTACGGGAAAGAAGGCTGCATATTCTAAACAAGTTCCTGATGTCGACCGGGGTCATGTGCACACCAGGGAACATTCATTATACAGTATGTTACAGTGGTTTGCACATAAAAAATGCTTTGCTCATAAAGGCAAAATAACTTTTCAGCTTTTCTCATGTTTCTCCACTTTGTATGGGGCAAAGATAGGTGTGATGTGGAAGGCAGTTATGGTATTGTAATATCCTTAGTGATCAGTTGTCACATTTTGCGTTATACCTCGTCTGAATTACACTTTCTGAGACTGTCATTGCTAATGTTTGTCACAGATCCATTGCTTTGCTTCGATGTAAAAAAAAAAATACACACACCATATGACTCCACAATGTAGCAGAGTTTTCTTCAGTATCAAAGTCATCTTGTGACAGTTTTCAGGTAAAGGTAAATCCACAGGTACATTGCAAACACAAACTGCTAGTAGCACCTTTGACGTACTTTAATAGTGTCAGTTTGCCAAAATAGAAACAAATATAGGGTAAAATAAAAAAAAATAGTGGTGCTCAAGTTGCAGCCCACGGCAAGCTAACTGACTCAATGGAAACATTATACTACTATTTGATGTCCCCCAAAGCATTATGGGAGCTGTAGTTCAAAAATACAGGGCAGGCTCATCCCCAAACAGAAGCCATTCAAGAAATAATAGAAGTAATGTCGCAACTATTAGTATTTTTCATGTCGCTGTATCGGTACGTTTTGGCATTAGATGAGGGTGGGGGGGGGTGTCAGATGTTTAAAACCTATGAGTTAGACACTGATGCTTGAAACAGTACATGTGTGTAATTTGTGTATTTGAATGCTGCTCTGCTACATTGTTCAGCTGTGCAGTCAAGAATGAACCAGTCCTACGCTAACTTGTCACACACGCTGCACTTTTTGTAAGAGAAGAAGCGATTTGATTAGCGATCAGTGTCTGGTGTAACAATGCTCCCTGTCCTGCTGCTCTTTGCTCCTCGCTCTGTCTGCCTGTCTCTGCCTCCACCTTATGCACACACACACACACACACACACACTGCAGGTGACACTGTCCCTAACTCTTTAATTAGGTTGTGACTCCTTTTGTCTTCCCACTGAATGGTCCTCTACCATGTGTGTTAACTGTGTTTGTGTTATTACCCACTGCCTCTGACAAGTAGTGTCTGGTCAGATTGAGAATAATTTTTGCCTTAAGGCCGCAATTGACACTTTATTTCAGTGTTGATTCATGTGTCAGTTATTGTCTGATTCATTGTATCGTTTGTGAATCGTCAGGAAAACGTTTACTACAGTTTCCCAAAGCAACATGGTGATGTGTTCAGTCAATCAGTGACCGACTAGTGCCTCACGTTTTAAGCATGTTAGGATGTTAGTAGAAAGAAAGAGATTTGTAGTCATTTAAAAACTGCTGTCTTGATTAACAACGGACAATTAGCGGTTGAATTTTCATTGATGTATATGTGGTTTCCCGTTCCGGTCCAGGACAAGGACGTGGCTCGGCTGCAGGACTTTCAGGAGCTGGAGGTTGTGTTGGAGAAGGCAGAGGGCCTGTCCCTTTTCTCTGGACCTGGGGGCCTAACAGACAGACCCTGCTACAACATGAAGGCCTCTCGCCTCACCTACTAGAGCTACCACAGAGCCCCAGTTCTCCTGCTTATGATGGGCTTCTGTAGCTTCCCTCAAACAACCACAACTAGTTGCCTGTCAAGGTCCCTTGTTACAGCTTTGTTTGGCTTTGGTGTTTCACCAACTTCCTGACTTGGATTTGTTTCCCCCCTGCAAGTTCTGTAGCTTTTGTCCCCCTGTCCTCCTCTGGCCCTCCTGCTGCTTTAATGTACCCAACCAGTTCTAACAGTTACTGATGCATGGTGTACTGGATTCTGTGCCCCTCTCTCCTCTCTTTGTCTCTTTCTCTCCTCCCATTGCACTTTTGTGCCAAGGCTCCAGTGGGACATCAGAGGTGGACACTAGCTTGTCTTCCTAACAGACTGGACTTGAATGGGATTCTCCAATAGCCTTACATGGACACATCCCTATACCGGCTGTGAACTGTGGTCACAGAGGAGAATGCTCTGAGAAAACCGAGTGCAGAGGGCGACAGGAAGGATTTATATAACACATCATCAGTCCACAGAACAGTTTCAGCTCAGTGGACTTGGACTTCCAGCAAACTGACCGATAGTGTTATCAGATATTCTAGCGGGCGTACTCACTTTCATACATGCTGTAGGCATAAACCTTAGTGTCTTTCCTGCAGAGGGCCTCCATTACTGTCCTAATTCTTAAAGTGGGGTAATCTCACACCCGGTGAGATTTAGGTAACTTTGAAGAAATAGTCATTTTATATGCTGATCACACATGCTTTAATCTACACTATATCCACACAGGGATGGATAGGAGTAGTGATTTCCCCCCCAATATTTGAATCAATCCCAGTCAGCTGTACACTGTGGAAAAGAGATCATTAGTTTTGTTTGAATTGTCCTCTTTTGTTTCAGAGATATGTGCAGTAAATTGAAGCAGAACTCGTGTTTTTTTTTTTGTCAACACTGCATTATCACTTCTGCTTTGCAGGGTGTGTTACAATACATAGTCACCACAACACTTTAACTGTCGAATGTGAAGTATTTCTTTTCAATTCTTGACTTAAGGTGATTGTTATTAATAAAGAAAGGCCATGAGTCGCTTCTGAGAGTAACAAGGCTCGAGTCTCAGCACAGGTTGTAGATGTGGTTCTCGATTTGTCATATACATTAACCATTCTGTTTGATATTTTTAGGTGCTGTCTTTCTGTTTAACTGTAATTAGAATCCAAACCAAAAACTAACATAGCCAGCAAACTGACAGTGCTTCGGAAAGGAATGCAGCCTGGTTAGATGGATGGGTGTGTATGTGAGTGTGAGACAATATTTTATGATTGAGTGCTTCCTTATTCTTCCGGCACTAATCTAGTTTTTATTTCTGATATCTCGTTTAGACTCTCACCTCAGTTTAAACCTCGGTTATCTATATGGCGACTAGATATCTTGAAAATGTAACGACTGAAAGCAACACAAAATACTAACAGCTTGGTTGCCAAGGCTAGTTCATTGCTAATACCTAGTTTTGTAATTTAATAAAAGGTCATTTGAGTTTTTTTTTATTGTTGCTGCCTGTTTTGAATAGACTGACAATGTAATTATTTATACTAATGGCAACAAAAGGCATTGTTCTGAACTGAATTGTGCCACAACAGGTCAAGAGGCACATCCATGTTGTCGCATGGTAACTTTATGCCGCTTTCATTAGCACGTGTTCCTTTAATTCTCTATGCTCATTTGTTAAGCAGCGCAGTAGGCGGCCACTAGACGCGTCCTAAAATGAACAAGACTAACCCAGTGGTAACTGTTTACTGTCCAGATGTATATCTAAAGCTCTTACTGTATTTGTATGTTTTATGATGTATTTTTTTATTCATTTGTATAATTGTTTTAAACCATCTAGGCCTGTTGTGTTTGTGTCAAAAACCTCAACTGTTGTACAAGTGAGAGTTCAGCTAAAGATGCTATTGACGAAGGCAAGTGCAATGTGGGGAAAGGAATGTTTCCAGAAGGTTTGCCGTTACCAAGAGTGCTGCTTTTATGTTCCCAACTATGCTCAATGCTTTATGTGAAGTTGTGCCACACGTTTTAGGCAGGAGCCCGGTGTGTCAAAGTGGCACAGTGTGGGAGAAAACAGCCCCCATGTGTCTTGTGCCCTGGTTGAATGAGAGCAGCATGTTTGAAAAGGAGATGACGGACGTATTAAAGGGTTTGCTTATTGTTCTAGACAAGCAGAATACAGTTTGACTTAACCTATGCATTCAGAGTCTAATATTTTTATATACAGTATGTCCTGTGTACTTGTAGAGATAATCTTAGGCACTGAAAGTTTTTTTTGTTTTGTTTTGTTTTGTTTTTTTTTTGTCTGGAGACCTGTGTCTGTTCTTTGATAAAGCATGGTGAATTACTTGAACCTTGCTGGCCTCGTGTTTTATAAAAGCTTACATCTATCTGAGTAATTGAAGTCATGTTGATGTGAATATCTCCTAGTTTTCACTTTTAAGTGAATGAACCAGTTGTGTAAAGAGTGTGGCTTTGACTGAGGGCGACCTTCCCAGTAATGAACTGAAACCTGTTTCAGCTCAGAGCCACCAGAGGGAGCAGAGCAACGCATATTGACATCAGGGGAACCACAGACTGACGTACTAGTACTTATGCTACTTCAGCTGACAGTTTGACTTTTTTCTACTTGCATTTAATTGATTTCATAAGAAGTATTTTAGATAGCAGCACATTTTCTCTTTATACCAAAATTCCCTGGTGTCTGGACATCTTGCTCCTTCACAGCTCAAGCTCTTCAATTATACAAATAAAAGTTATTCATCACATTGATGCAAAACCACCACACACAGCAGTTCTGCTCTACTGACTGGTAATACTGCTAACAGAGAACCAATTGCAATAGTTATTAAAAGCATAAAACAAAAGGGCAAAATGTGGTTTAGGTAAATGTATATCACACAGAAAATACTGACATCAGCCAAACCTACATCGGTGATATACACAATCAGTTCATGAAGAGTAAAAGAGGTTCTCCCGCCAACAGGTAGCTGTGTGGCTGTGACTCCCATGCTTTGTTTGAAAACCAAATTTTCATTAAGAATCATTTTAGCTGCTAGTAAAGAAGCTGTTGGACACCGAGACACATCTACTAAATACTCTTCTACAAGCTGTTCACATACAGAATTCACTGGTTGGTTTAGGCTGCTTTTAAACTGTTAATGTAACGTGTCAGTCTCATATTTCAAAGCTCAGTGTTGTTGTACTGTCCAGCTGTAGTTTTGTCTTCATCCCATCCATTCACTTTTGACCTGCATTTGCACAGCGAGCCAGTGTTGTACATTCTGTTATGAACCTAACAAACTAAACATTTTATGTTCCCCTTCTGATTTAAAGAACATAAACAACACATAATTTATGGTCATACAGACACACCAGTGTGTCTGTCAAATCCTTAACCTCTTCAGTGAAATCAATACAATAGAGTCCAGGTGGTGAGCAGATGTTCAGACACTGCAGTCTGGAGAGAGCAAATGTTGCATAATCTGAGCAGAGTTCTGAGAAAGTGTGAGTGTTGGAAAGCTAACTGAACGCCTCATGAATCTGTGCATTTATCCCTGTATCCTGTCTTGCAGGTGTGTTGCGTTGTGTGTCTAGACTGGGGCTGGGGAATCAGCTTTGGGCCCTGCTGTGACCGGACGGGTCTTTCTCCTTTGTTCTGGATTAGGACATTCATAATAAGCTTAGAATGACCGGTCATAACACCTTCATTGTTTTGAACCAGACCCATTGGCCTCCCACGCATGAGAACCTGCATGGTCGAAAATCTCTAAGAGCATTTCAGAAATGGAGGCAGAAGGCGCAGTTGCTTGCAGGTACCTTGGTTGATGTATGTTAACTTTGGTGCAATTTGCGCCCCTCTCTAACAGACATAGTGCACAAAGATGAAATACAGAGATACTTAACTTTCAACACAAATGGCTCGTGAGCTGCTTTCAGTTCCAGCAGCAGTGCATCTCTTGACAGTGTTCAGCAGCCTCTACCTCATGTCATCAACGCCCTCCCACAGTGAGGTTTCCACACAATGACAGATAAGTTTAAGTTGACCCTGTCAACCCTGTCGCTGCCATCCTGGCACTGTTGAATGTAAATAAGCGACGAATCCACACTCACATAGTGATTTGTTCTTAAAAGATATAGTTTAGCCAGGCTTAGTTACAAGATATTTGGGGGAAAAAATCCTTGGCTCATCCTACAAATGCGGAATGTTTTATCATTACAACAACTATCCCCACAAGTTGTGAAGATGACTTACATTTTACAACAAATCTCCATATTGTGAGATATGAAAATAAACATTAATGGAGACCTGAGGTATTAAGTTGTTTTGAACAGGGCTCGGAAAGATGGTGAGTGTGCACAGGGAAGGTCAAAGTCAAGGTCTGTTTGTAGACATTACATGCGTTGAAGGAAGGTAGGCCGTCGGGGCGCCCTGTGTGGGGTCCTCCATGTGGCTTCATTCAATGCGTGTCGTGGCCCAAAGCCTCCGTGTCGGCTATGCTGGGAATGCAGGGTCTTGAGGAGTAAAGGTTATGGGTGGAGGGCCTGAGGGGGCAAGCAGACACTGAAAACACAGTTTGTGTTTATGTGTTGCATGCTATTGGGAGTATGCACATAGATGTAGGTGTGTAAAATGGTGTATTTATTCTTCATCTCCTTTTACTTAAAGCAAATCTTTGTGAATCGTTTGATATTGTTGGCTAAAGAGTTGGTGTACCAGACTGAGACTGCAGGGTTTGGCCTGGAGAACGCTGGGCCTCTTTGGGCTCAGCATGGGCTCAGCCTGGGAAGCACAGCCTCCATACCAGTGCACGCACACACACACTCGCATAGCATTTTAACTTTAGCACCAGCTTTTTAATGTTTAGGCTTTTAGGCTATGTCACTGTTTGGTCAGAACAGCTGCAAAATCCTTTTTTGATGATCATGGCCGCAGAGACCACGGCCTCTATTGTTTTGTTTCAAACCCTTCTTTTCTAACACACTTCCTGGAACTGGCTTTCGGGGAAAATGTGTTTTTCACAGGATGTTGTCTGTAGTACTTCTTGCATGTCAATATTGTGACAGCAGCTTTGAACCCACTAGTATCTGGACTGTAAACTGTAGTATGACCTGCTAAGATTTCTTCTCATCTGTGTTATGATTAACCACACTACTCACTATTACAACACTGACAGTGCTCTATCGAATTTCATCATTCTTGAACAGGATTTTCTGTTTAATGGAACCCAGATTGTTTCACTTAGTGTGACATGACTTTATTTTACGGGACACTTTCCAGCAACACAACAAACTAGACAGTTTAAGAGTGCATGCTTTATCAACTTTATTGCATTATTAAAATCTAAATCATTGATATAGTCCTTATAATATACAAACTGATGCATCCAGTATGTCTGAAACTCAAGACATTATATCTGAAATTTTTGTAAGATAATCTAAAGGAAAATCATTTGATTTTCACCACACACCTCTCAAATATTGCGGGTCAAAAGACAAAAGAGGCTGGTATGACACCACTGCCTGCCGCAATTTATGCATTATATTGTAATGAAATGTATTTTCAGTGCAAAAGTCCAATCCGTGGCTAACAGAGGCCAGTAGACTGCACTGACGTTGGTGCCATCTTGTGGAGATGGGTATTTTGTTCAGACGAACTGGGGAGATTGTACAGTAACTGCACTGCGGTTGTCACCCAGTACAGATTAGAACTAGAATGTCTAAAGCATAACGTGTAATACTACACAATAATAATTAGTTAAAATGTAGTTTATAGTCTGACACTGATGAGTAATAACATGGAGCTGCATGTGCCATATAATGCAAAACTGTAATACGTTTAGGGTCCGTGCCCTTTAGCTTTACATGTATTTTTTTTAAAATGTGTGAAAACACAAGTCTTAAATATTTAGTCCTTGCCTAAAAAGTGTATGTACTACGTTTGGATGTGGCTAAATATTTCCTTCTCCTTTGCACCGACTTTGCAAGCTAAGGGTTAAGGCAGCCAGCGCTTAACGCACAGGTGTCTCGCCAGTCCCCTAAGAAACAGCGCCTGGAAACTGTTGGAGAACTTTTTTTTTTCTTTAATTAAGTTGATCGTAACTGTAACTCAGCTGGGATCTGCTGTCCGACGAGACAGACCACTGTAGTTCATGTAGTCAGATCTTAAGTGTGTTTACGCGCCGCAGCTCGAATCTCTTGCTACTGTTAAACGTGGAGTGACGAACCTGGAGAGCTCACCACATCGAGCCCGGTCCCACTCTCCCATTTTCGCTGTTTTTATGCTGAATCTGATTTCACAGCTTGGAAAATCAATTACGCTAAAAGTTAAAGACGTTTATAAAAAAAAACTTTAAGGTCGTGTTAAACTCAGTTTGTCTCTCGGTGGATTCGTTTTCTTCAAGATATTCCGCCGGTTCTGTTACGCACCAGATATGTGGTGGATGCTGTTTCCCCGATGGATCTGGTTTCTTCTGGGACATTATTACACTTTTCTCCTTTATATGGACAGCTGCTGCGTGAGAGCGATGCCTATGTCTGTGGCAAAAGTGGTGTACTCTCACGCAGGTCTGTGCCCGAATGACCTGAACCCCAACCTGTGGGTGGATGCTATGAGCACCTGCATGCGCGAGTGTGAATCTGACCAGGTAAGCATGTGCTACTTCATACTTTGACTTCATTGCAATTCAGAGTCAAATGTTGTTCTTTTCACTCCACTACATGTATTTGATAATCTTCAGTTACTAGTTACTTTTCATAATCAAATTAATAAAACAACATAAACTATAATCATATGATTATAGTTGATTCCTGATGGAAAATTCATTAAGCTACCCAGCAGCATGTAAAGTCATTCATATTGTAAGCACGTAAGCTAGTTAAAACTAGCTCCCCCTTTTACCAGCTGCAACATTAAATGTGATGTGCACAATAATAAGTCAATAATTATAATCCAGTGTATGATGCACAGTACATCCAGGTGTACTGTGCCATACTGAACATCCTGTGCTTTTACTTTAGTACTTTAAGTATATTTTTATGCTAATGCTTTCACTCAAGTAACATTTGTATGCAGGACTTTTATTTAAGTCAAGATTTTGAGTACTTCTTCCACCACTGCTTGTACATTTGTTACCAGTTATGAACTGTAGAGTGCTATATTTGTTTAGGGATTGTCTGCTTAAGTTCAAAGAAAAATAGCAAGCAGAAAAACAGTTAGTCATGTAATGTTACATATTACATTCTACTGTACGTCCTTCCTTTGTAATTCATATTGTGTGGTGTTGACCAAATATTGGCCAAAACTCAGATACACTGAAAACTTGCAGGTAAAGTTCTACAGGTTCATCACAGTGAGATCTGCAGGTAATATTTTGTTAAGAAAGATTTCACTAGGAAACTTTTTTCAGCTTTATGCTGAATTTTATTTCATACTAACTGTAAAAGACCAAATTTCTGGCATGTAGTGTAAAGATTAGATTTTTCTCCATCCCCAGGACTGTGAGACGTTCGAGAAGTGCTGCCCTAATGTATGTGGTAACAAGAGCTGTGTGGCTGCACGCTATATAGACATCAAGGGCAACAAGGGCCCCATTGGAATGCCAAAGAGCGCCACCTGCGACAAGTTCATGTGCTCTCAGCAAGGGTCCGAGTGTGACATCTGGGATGGCCAGCCTGTTTGTAAGTGCCGGGACCGCTGTGAGAGACAGCCTCACTTCACATGTGCATCTGACGGCATGACATATTATAACAAGTGCTACATGGATGCAGAGGCCTGTTCCAAGGGTATCTCTATCTCTGAGGTCACCTGCAGGTAACATGTTAAGTATTTTAGATCTCTACTTTTTGTATGTGGTGTGATGAGGTAATGTTCTCTTGTTTCACTCCTCAAAATTCCAACATTAAAAACTTTTTTCTGCCATATAATAGTATGTATAGTGCATACAGTATGCCAGTATCTTCATTAAAGAAGGGTGTTTGACTAGTTCTTATTAATTCCTTTCTTCTCAACCTACCTACAGGTACCACCTGACCTGGCCAAACACCAGCCCTATTCCTGTGGAGACCACCCTACACCCCACCACAGCCCTCCAGACCACCCTCCCAGCTGATATCCAGCTACCCGTCATTCACACGGGCCCCACCCAGCAGGCTATTTTTGTTGGGGAGACAGCTAGCTTCCTGTGTGAGGTGTCTGGGAAGCCACATCCGGAAATCACCTGGGAAAAACAACTGAAGGGCAAAGAGAACACCGTAATGCGACCAAATCATGTCCGAGGGAACCTTGTGGTCACTAACATGGGCCAGCTGGTCATATACAATGCACAACTTCAGGATGCTGGCATCTATACATGCACAGCCAGAAATGTTGGGGGAAGTATATCGTCACACTTTCCCTTGATAGTGGTCAGAAGAGAAGCGAAAGGTAAGAATGCAGACAGGAATAGTACCAACCTGCCTTTTCCAGCTGAAGAGTGCCTTAAGAGTCCAGACACAGATGACTGTGGAGAAGAGAGCATGAGCTGGTACTATGAACCAAAGAGGAACAACTGCTTCACCTTCACCTACAGTCAGTGCAATAAAAACCACAACCATTTCGACACCTATGAAATTTGCATGCTGTCATGTGGCGGAGAGCTAGCGGCTCCCTGTAGCCTACCAAGCCTCCAAGGCCCTTGCAAGGCCTACGCACCTCGCTGGGCATATAGCAGCAGCCTCAAGAAGTGCCAATCCTTTGTCTATGGAGGCTGCGGTGGCAACGAGAACAACTTTGAGTCCAAAGAGGCCTGTGAAGAGATGTGCCCCTTTCCAAAGAATAACAACTGCAAGATGTGTAAACCTCGAGGCAAGATGGTCACTAGCTTTTGCAAGAGTGACTTTGTGATCCTGGGGCGTGTGACTGAACTGACGGAGGAGCAAGAATCAGGCCATGCTTTGGTGACAGTGGAGGAGATCTTCAAGGATGAGAAGATGGGTCTGAGGTTCTTTGGCAAAGAACCTTTGGAGGTGACTCTTCTGAACATGGACTGGAACTGCCCCTGCCCCAACATCACTGTGGCTGACGGACAGCTAATCATCATGGGAGACGTTCACAACGGGATGGCCGTCCTGCAGCCCGACAGCTTCGTAGGCTTCTCCAGCACTCGCAGAATCAGGAAGCTTCGTGAACTCACCCAAAAGAAAACGTGTGATGTGCTTAAAGATTTCACTGCTGTCTAGTAGATTCTTTTAAAAGCATCACACTCACTGAAAGTCAGTTATTTTCAGATCATTCCAAGCTCCAGTGACCTCACCAGTCTGACCGACTGCCAGTAAATGCAAAACTAGCAACGTATCTGTAACATTGGAGGTTTTGTTGCCCATTTCACATGTTACTTTCCTTCTTTTTTCTTATTGCTCAGTAGATTTGTTTGTTTGGGAAAGCCAAGTAGAATAGCAATAGTCACAAGCATTTATCCCATAAAAAGTATTTAATCTGTGTAACTCTATTAATTTTCCCTTTTGAATACACAACTATTCATTTAACATCCTATTTAAATATATGTGGTTCATTTGCTGTTGTTTATGTGGGATCTCCCAAACAGACACGGTATAACATCTATATAACTGTATAACGTCCTGAGCCTTTGTGCTCACCATGTGAAGCCTCAGTTTATCTACCAGAATCAAATAAGCTCTTTGGTTCCAGTTTGTTGTGGAATCTGTTTTGATAAGTTTTAATTTACAATACAGAACATGTATGTGGACTTCTGTACTTCTATACTACATATTTATTTTTTGATCTCTCTATATATATTAATGTTCATTACAACCTTTATGGAACATAATGGCAAGATGAATAAAGATGATTTTGAAAGTATATGAGATCTGTGCCTGTTCCTTCTGCTAGAAATAAAACACCCAGCATGCTCACAGCTTATCAAAAGGATCATGCAGGCAGTGCATGTGCTGACAACTCTCCATCTATGTCCTCCTCCTTGTATTTTACACACACGGGGCCTATTCTGGCATTAAAATGTGAAGCAGGTCACATTCCAGCCCAGCTGTGGTAGCCTGTGGAGCTGTGTGCTGTGTTGTGTCTGGGTCTGGGGCCCTTGCATAGCACACACCCCACCGGCCATCCACTGGCCCTGTGCGGCCCCTTTCATGTACAAGAGGCTAGGGTGAAGGCGAAGAGGAGGAGGAGAAGGATGTTGGTTGATTCTTTAGTCTTTCACTTAGTTGGTCACATCTGTGTTTAAAGGGCATATAGAAGATGGAGAGGGGAACGGACGGAGTGCTGAATTCAACTAAAGTTTGGATGGAGCTCACTCATTTAATTCTGTACAGTTTCTATCTTTTCATGCAGAGATTGTGGCTGATGTGAAAACATACTGGAAAAATAAAAACGCATCAATATAAACGTGCAAACAGTTGCAGTGTCAGATGAGAAGTCAGAACTGGTCAATGCTAGAACTGTGGCATACCTTAAGAAGAAAATTAGTCACCAGGACCACCCTGACATACAGGAAACAAAACATAAGGAGCCCACTAGCCCCTCAGTCTTTTCCCCCTTCCCCCTCTCTAACCCCCTTCTTCAGTCCTCTTCTTGAACTGTCTGCCCACGCAGACCGACAGCCAGCCAGCCTTGGGCGACGACCTCCGACCCTGCTAATGAAAAAGAGGCCACAAAGGAAAAGGCCACTTTCATTAGAGCTGTTGACAAGTGTTAAGTGAGTGGCTGAGCTCCAGACTGGCTTCACACAGCCCCCTCGATGCCCTCCACTTCACAGCCAGCTGCTCATTTCAGTATCAAGTTCACTCAGAGACCACCAGTCGGACAGAGCGTAATAATAAGCCACGGTGCCCCCAGTGACACGGTATCAGTGAAAAACTTCAGAGGGATGGTTGAAGCTCTTTCAAGATGTCTAATACACAAAATTTTGCACTGATTGTATAGAGATTGCACTTTTTACCTCCTGCTCAAAATGTATACAGGCACTGCCCTTGTGTAACACAACCTGAACCAGCTGTTAATGGTTAAAATGAACAGTTAAAACACTGCTGTGGTGAGTAATCACAGCACATCTACAGTATGTTCTGTGTCTGGACTGTATACTATTACAGTGCTACAGCCACAGCTTACTACAGTACATTCCCACTTCTTGCGCAATCGGTGAAGCTGTCCACTTGGTGGCGGCACAGTATCTATCAAAGTTGGTGGCCTGAGAAACATTATGAGTGTATAAAAATACACTTTAACTCACATTTAACCATCAAGAATATCATCTTAAGATAAAATTCTGCATATGAAGTGAAATTATTTTACTTCTGAGTTTCAGAAAGCTTCAAAAATGAGTATTGCCTTCTTTCTAAATACTGTATGTCAAAAATAAGTAGAACCTAAACTAAGCTAAGTAAGGAGTTAAAATGAGTATTAATTTCATTGGACACGTGTCCTTTTACAGTGCACAGTAGCTTCAAAGAGGATTTTAATGTAATTTCCTGTATATTGGAGACACAATGTCACTTGCCCTATGAAAGCCTCCACAAGCAGTCAGCCAGATGGTCTGGTAAGTTGTGCCCAGTGCACTGGATGTGTGCTTGTACTTGAAGCGTGCAACCACACACACACAGACACACTCTCACTGTGTCAGTTAGCAGCCCTCCAGATCACAGCTGGTCTGTGTGTGGAGTTAGACTAAATTGTGCCAGGTGGGAAAGGATAGAGAGAGGAACAGAAAGTCCTAATTCACCAGATAAAATATGGAATACCAGCACATATTCACAGAGTACCAGTCCGATGTACACAGAAAAACACACTGTATGAGAGTAGGGCATTAATATTGTTGGTACTTGGAAATGAGTATTAGGAGTAACTTTTTTTTTTTTAGTTACTTATGTACAAGCTTGATTTTCTCCTTCTTACTACTGCAGTCCTTCCCTTCTTTATTAATACAGGTGAAGGAGGGTGTAATCTGAGCATAAGATCTGCATGTTTGCAAATTTCTGACTGGTCTATTAAACAATATGTCAGTGTGTGCTGACAGAGAAATAAGAGACAGGTTGTAGGAGATGAGACAGAAATCAAAAGAGCTGAATGTAGCGGGTGGAGCATGGATAAAAGTGCAAGATGTTGAAGGGGAGAGGAAAATCAAGAAAGGTAGGAAACAGGAAAAGAGGACCTTGGGAAGATATGGAGGATCTGAGGGTGTGTGTGTGTGTGTTGGGGGGGATGAGCAGATGATCAAAGCAGAAAGGTCATAGCAGCATAAGGAGGGTGTAAATTGTCCAGAACATAAAACTGCTGGGGCCGAATCCAAGGGATTCTTTCCCGCCCTTATCATTCTGCTTTCTAAAAATAGTACCAGCAATGTAGGACACTGTTACCTCGCACATCTCTCCGCTGTAACCATACTTTAATACAGATAGATAAATCAGTACAGAGGTAAAGGCAGAATAAGTGTGAGATTTTATTTCATGCTAAATAAAAGGGAAATCTAAACTCTCAAACTGCTGCCACAAAAAAATTAGACATCAGTATTTTAAAAAAAAGTCTGTTACATTAGCATTTGTGTATGTGTGTGTGTTTGTGCATCACTGATCATTATATATGGTTCAAAAACCAGCAAAAAGCTGCTAGCCACTACCCACCATGCATACACAGACCCTCACATATACAAATATCCCTGAGGCTTTCAGTTTATAAAATTTAAATATGCTGCCTACGTACTACGCAGGGAGACAGTGTCTCTATGTTCCACCACCATCCTAAGTTTGATTCATGTCATATATACACACACACACACACATATTACACAAACTTAAACCTTCCTTAGTTAGGATTTCAGATAGATAATGCTAAAAATATAGAGTTTGTGTGTGGGCCATGCATGTGCACACTGTGCGCAACAAAAAAGCACAAATCAGCTTTTGTGTCAATTACAGTCAAAGACTCTTTAAATGAGATTGGTTAGAGAGAGAGAGAAATGTTTAAAAATACAGAAAGCAAGAGAAGGAAACCGAGAATGGGGAGTGGCCTCTAAAAAGACAGAGGGAGGGGGGAGAGGTAAAGGTTTGCTTGGGACAAAATGTTCTAATCCCACACTAACATGAAAGAGAGTTACTCAGGGATGTCACATTGTTTCTGCTCGGGGACAAAGGCAGTTGTGTTAGGCTCTGCCTCTTTTCTCTCCTCCTACATATTATTTCTACTCAGTGTAAACAGTTTCTTGCATTATCCTCCTATTTTATAAGTATGCATTTTATATTTGATCTTTTTGTATACTGCATTGCTGGGATCTAATAGTTACAAAGATATTGTTTAAACTTAAAGATGCTGAAATTACTGTCAGTACAGTTAATAGTTAACAGTTTTAAAGCCACAGTCATGTTATATAGTCCCAACACTAGATGGCGCATCACATCTGTGGTTACATTAGAGAGCATCCAGTTTGCCCAAAATATACATGGAAATGAAAATATCTTTCATTTATTCTCTGAGCTCATGTAAACAAGATTAATCAGATGCCAGTCTGGTTTTGTTCATGCAGAAAAAAGACCAGGTCTTCCTTCATTGACACAGACCACATGGCTTCTGCAGTCTTTCTCCTTTCAGTTACAATGAATTCACAGCTCTTGATGCTGGGGCCAATTTATTCCAGTCTCTGCTGAAATGCTATGAAACTTTGTGTACACTGGGGGGAGCGCAAGGCTGCTGATGAGTGGAAACAGGTTTGCCCACTTTGATGCCTGAAAGTCATGATTGCATTAACCCACTATCTTTATATTAAGATGTTCTATTTGTAAAGAAATGTGTTGGTCAAGGATTGCCCACATTCAAAGTCCTGCTGGGTAGCAAAGATTTGTGGGATTTTGATCCAGTATTTGTTCAAAGGCCACCAGAGATTGTCCTCCTGTAAAAATGACTATGTTGTTTGTGCCAGCAGGTAATTACGGCCAACAGCTATGTACTATAATTTGGCGACCTCTAGCGAGGGTAGCACTTATGACATGAGCAAAGAAAGGAGTGAGGCGATGTAGAATACATAAATACATAAATTCCAGGACCCCCCCCCCCCAAGATGAGCGGTGGTTCAATACCAGTGTGTGATGACTGTTTTATACCTAGCAAAAGTGGATTTTTGTTTTTGTGCTTAAACATAAACAAGTAGTTTGTGTAACAAAACATAATGAAACTATGACGTTTCATAACTGTAACAGAATATTTATGACAGATTCCATAACGAGGGAGTAACCAATTCAGTCAGCTGTTATCAATGTGACACCAAGATACTTTTAATGAACTAAATTAGAAATCTTCATGAACCAAGCAGACTTTTAGTCTCTCTGTTTTGGTGCCCTCAGAATATATTTGACCATAAAACTCTGCAAAGTAGGTTGGAGCAGATAGTTGTCTTGCACCTTTTTAGCATTTATAGCATCTGATTAATATCGGCACTTAAACAGGTCATTCACTGAGATCCTAAGTTAATACAGGGAGCGCAAGGCCGCTGAAAAAAATGCACTTCAGATAGTTTCCTTGGTAAGTCATAGACTATTCCTTGGATAGATACAGTTGAATTACAGAACAGTTGTACACAGTTTATACTCCATTTACTTTCATCAGTTACTGATTTTCAACAGGCAAATTTTCAGTTTTGGCAATTTGCTTCATTGTCTACAGTTTATAGAGAATACTGAGCTATGGAAACATAAGGTTGCTCCTTTTTAGCACACATATTAATGCATGTTATAAGGCTTTGGTGTCTGACCCTATTTCAAGAGAAGCATTACATAAGTGTTCATTGCCTCAAATGGAAGGAAATGCC